ATTTATTTACCGCGTCGGTGTAGATTAATCAGCCCAAAAAATCAACTATGATCCTTACTTACAAGTTGCGACTCGCCATTATTTAATCATTCCTTGTCTGCGGTAGGAGTTAATATCGCGTGGGCATGGTGAGCAAGGAATAAAAAGACCGGAGAAGACCAGAACCAAAAAACCTTAAGAGCAAGTCGACCTATGGCTCGGCCCGGGCCTCGAGTCGAACGGGTTTCCTGTAGCAAATTGACGTCGCCACGAAGCGCAGGCGTGGACCGCCCACCACCGAGCCGATGGCGTTCTAGTCGCGAGGTTTAGTAAGCTGGTGAGATTTATTTGCCGCGTCGGTGTGAGTTGATCCATCAGCCCCAAAGATTCACCACGATCCTTATTTAGTGCGACTCGCAATCATTCCTTGTCTGCCGTGGGACTGAGTATCGCGTGGGCATGGTGAGCAAGGAATAAAACCAGGACCAAAAAACCTTAAGAGCAAGTCGACCTATGGCTCAGCCCCGAGTCGAACGGGCGTTTCTGCAGAAGTGTTGCTCCGGGTTTTCTCATTGAGTGCAGACGTGGACCCTCCACAACCAAGCCGATGGTATTCTAGTCGCGAGGTTCAATAGGGTATGATTTATTTGCCGCGTCAGTGTAAATTGATCAGCGGCGGAACTTGAAGCTGAGACCCTGAGTACATACTACACATCTCCTTCCAGTTCGAGGTATTGCATGCTATAATTTCATAGGGCTAAAAAGCGATGTTCGTTCGCATCCACTGGCAGACAAAAACAAAACCATGCCACTCAGTGTTTATGGCTCGGCCCCGAGTCGAACGGGCGTTTCTGCAGTTTATTGAATGCAGACGTGGACCCCCCACCACCGAGCCGATATGATTCTAGGCGCGAGGTGCATAGCTATGGTATGATTTATTTGCCACGTCAGTGTGAGTTGGTTCATCAGCCCAACAATTCAACTCCGACCCTTTTCAATGGTTATGGCTCGGCCCCGAGTCGAACGGGTGTCCTGCAGCAAACCAATGATTCTGACGTGGCTACAAAGCGCAGGCGTGGTCCGCCCACCACCGAGGCGATGGCATTCTAGTCATGAGGCTCAACAGTTACTGTAAGTACAAGCTGGTGTGATTTATTTACCGCGTCAGTGTAAGTTGACTCATCAGCAGAGAAATTCACCCCCGGCCCTTTGTCACTCGCAATCATTCCTTGTCTGCGGTAGGTCGAATATCGCGTGGGCATAGTGAGCAAGGAATAAAACCAGGACCAAAAAACCTTAAGAGCAAGTCGACCTATGGCTCGGCCCCGAGTCGAACGGGTGTTCCTGCAGCAAAGCAATCATTCCGACGTCGCCGCAATATAATGTGCAGGCGTGGACCCTCCACCACCGAGGCAATATCATTCCATGTGGGAGGCTAAGGTGTGGTATGATTTATTTGCCGCGTCAGTGTAAGCTGCTCGGTGGAGGAATTCAACCCCGACCCTCACTTATAAGTTAGTGCGACTCGCAATCATTCCTTGTCTACGGTAGGACTTAACACCGCGTGAGCACGGTGAGCAAAATAAAAACACCGGAGAAGACCAGAACCAAAAAACCTTTACGACGAGTCGACCATGGCTCGGCCCCGAGTCGAACGGGTGTCCTGCAGCAAACTACTCATCCCAACGTCGCACAAAGTGCAGGCGTGGACCGCCCACAACCGAGCCGATGGCGTTCTAGTCGCGAGGTTCAATAGCTTGTACTTAGTTGTGATTTGTGTGCCGCGTCCGAGTGATGATCAGTGCAAGTTCTGACTGCTTAGCGGCCCGCGAGACGTTCAACGTTCAGCGCTCACCACTTAGGTACATATGTACTCAGTCGAGTCCAGAGGGTGAAATACGTGCCGAGGGTTGAACCGGTGAGCGCGGAATGCACGACTGAGAAGGGGAGGAAAAAGTTAAAAACACATATGGAGCACATATGGCCCTGGCCCGAGTCGAACGGGCTTCCTGCAGAGTTATTATCTATGTCAGCGCCCAACAGGATGCAGGTGTGGCCGCCACCACCGAGCCGCTTCCTCCCTATGCATGTATTCGAGCAGTGCTGGGGTATCCGGAGTTCGGAACGTCGAGGCCACGCTAGATAATCTTAGAGTATCTTGAAGAAGACTATGTACGGCCTTGCTTCCTTCTTTTGTGTGGTATACCATTAATTAACCTAACACAAACCAACGAATGAAAAATGTAATGTACCCTACGAGGTACGTATGGAGAAGTCGAATTCATGAGGGGTCGTAAAAATCGTAAAATCCATCTGGAGGTGTAAATCCTCCTACCGTCGACCGTCCATCCATCCATCCGAATCCAATCCCGATCCAGGTCGGAATAAACGACCACCTTACCGCCGCCCGCGACTCAACCCCGCGCTCGGCATGGCTTCCCGGCGCACCTCTACCTCTCTCTCATCCACCTCTACCTCTACGTCCTCGGCGTCGAACGCGGACGGGAACGCGTCGAACCCGCCGGGCGTCCCGTCGAATTCATCTTCCCCATTGCCGCGTTGCTCAAACCCCACGACGGGGGCGTGCGCGAAATCGCCAAACTCCTCCCCCGCCTGCGCCTTGCCGTCGTACACCCCCGAGTCGCGGATCCCCTCCTGCGCATGAGCGGGGAACGCCGTGGCGGTGGGCGGCGGGGACGCGAGCGTCGAGGACGTCGCGCTCGACTTGGACTTGCTCCCCCGGGAGCGCTTGGACTTCGTGGCCTTGGGCGCGACACCGACAGCGGCGGCGGCGCCCTGCACCCCGCGCACATACCCGGCGACGGTAGGCGAGTACGGCGTCCCCCCGCTCCCACTCGACCGCCCGCTGGATCGGGAATTAGATTGCGAGCCGCCTTTGGGACGGGGCGCGAGCCGCGCGTAGACGCCGCCGTCTAAATCCGCTTCGTCCGAGTCGTCCTGCGGGCGGGGGACGTGCGGGCCGACGGGGGAGGGGGACGGGGGGAGGAAGAGGTGCGGGAGCCCGGACGGGTGCCCCGCAGGCGGCTCGTCATACGCGGGGGATGGTGCAGTGTCCGGCTCCGCAGCAACCAGCCGTGCCATCCTGCGCATCTCCTTGCGCGCCTTCCGCCTTGCGCGCCGCTCGACGTCGGCCTCGGTGACGTCGCCGGTGAGCGCGTGCGGGGAGGGCTCGAGCGCCGCGCGCGCGAGGAGGGCGCTCGTGGCTTGGTCCGCGCCGCCGCGGCGGGAGGTGCGCGGAGGCGGAGGGGGTGTGGCTGGGCCGTCCCGCGCGCCCGCAAGCGCCCCGTCCTCGCCCTCCAGCCGCACGCCCTCCCCCTTGCCCGTACGCCCAAACAGGTCGAACCCCCACAGCGCGATGCGGCGCGGCGTGCGCGGGGGCGGCTTCCTTCTCCCCCGCGGTCCGAGGTGCGAGTGGAGCGAGATGGCGTCGGCGTCCGCTGCGGCGTCCCCACCGGTGCCCCAGCCGTCATCCGCGGAGGAAGAGGAGGAGGAGCGTAGGAGGCCCTCGAGCTCGTCTGCGCGCGCGCGTCGCACGCCGAAGGACGCATCGTGCGGACCAGGGAGGCGGGTGCCGTAGCCGTCTTGCTCGTCCTCGCTTTCTGTGCGTGCGGAGACGAGGCAGGGGAGGCAGGCGCCGAGGGAGGCGCGGAGAGTGTCGTTCCATGACGGTTGGTCCATTTTTCTTACTCCAAGTCTCAGTAGAAGCTCCTTTTTTCCTGTCGTCTCAGTAGAGTCTCAGTAGATTAAGCTAGTGAAGCAGCGCGGATGCGGAGTAGCGCGAGGTGGGAGGAGAGGGGGACGAGGACGGCGGAAGGAGCGAGGCAGCTGATTGCGGCCCTCGGCTATTTCGGGCCACGCGGCGCCGCATGCTCACGTCACAGCCGTGACATGTCAACCAAGATCAAGTTGCCATCAAGGGTTTCGGGGTTTCGCGTTTCTGGTTGGCTTTCCTGGTCTGGGGAGCGGTAGGGTCCTTTCCCAGAGCAATTATAAACAGTTTTTAATTCCTGGTTTGTAAACAGGGTGTTTATAAACCGGTTTATAAACACTCACCAGTCTGAGTCAAAATCAGTCTTTTCGGTGAGTTTCCGGAGGTTTTTCGCCCCAAGGCGGCCCTAAATCACTCCTGATTAATTTATTGAGCCCTGACGAGGTCTGAAACGGTCTCAGGACCAGCTACACCCGTGATAATTGACTCAAGACATGCACTTGTCAAAAGTTGCCCTTCTCGAACACGATTCAGAGGTACATCTGGTACAGGTATCAAGATTTAAACTGAGGGGTGCATACTTACTCACATTCTTGAAGTTTTGTGCTCCGGACTTCGTTGAATCGGCGCTCCCGCAGGCTAGCTGAGCACTGCCACAGGGAATTAAAAACCGGGAGTTTTGGTCAAACCATTAAAAACCGGTTTATAAACACCCTGTTTATAAACCGGTTTGTAAACCAGACTTATAAACAGGACCCTAGGGAGCGGGCTCAAAGTTTCTAGATCTGTGGTTTCTATTGGAACCTTTGGCTGGAATTTCTGCGCATCCTGGATGGCTCAATGCTTAGCTGCGGAATCACTCGTCTCTGGCTGGCACGCGCCGCCGTTGTCCCAACGGCACAGAGCAGTGATTTGTTCCGAGGCCTAGGCGTGGTTGGGTCCCAGTTCCTGCCCGCCCTGTACTGTCAAGGGGGGAAAAAAACTTTCTACAAAGAGTTTGTGTGCACCGACTAGGAACCGAACCCCAACTCCGCCCAAAATAGTAGCCGCGTGTTCCCAACACAACCGGTGCATTGTACATGTATACTTTGCATGCGCAAAACTAAGAGCCTCTGTAGTTGCCCTTGCTCTGAAGACTTTGGCTCAATTCTTTTACCATCCTAGCTGGCTCGGTAAATTCAAGCTGATTCTAGGAATGCGTCGTCGAGTGATTCAGTTTCGGGACTCAAGCGCCGCACTTACTTACTCCTCGATCGCCGATGCAAACAAAACAAAGGATGCTCCGACGATATGCACCAGCGGGGAATCGAACCCCAGCTCCGCCAAGAACGGATCACGCGAAAACTCTACAGAATGGCGGCGTGTTCCAAACACGACCGGTGCTTTCTCTGCTTTGCATTGCGGCTCTACTTGTGTGCTTGACTTCATTTGTGCCTGCGCCCCTCGGGTCTCGAGACGCTTCTTCATTTTCTGAAACCTGCATTTCAGTACGTGGCCCTAAAACATACCCACTACGTCAAGGCAAGACAAAAAAACGACATTCGGTATCGAAGGATGCACCAGTGGGGAATCGAACCCCAGCTCCGCCCAGAGGGGATGATGACAGAAAGCTCGACAGAATGGCGGCGTGTTCCCAACACAACCGGTGCGTTCTCTACTCTGCATTACGGCTCTACTTCTGTGCTTCACTTCATTCGCGACTGAGGTTTCGCCGCGCTCGTTGCGTCTTTATGCTCTTGAGACTCTTCATTTTTCGGAACCTGCATTTCAGTAAGTAGCCCTAAAACACAAGCACTACGTCAAGGCAAGATGAAAAAAACTCATGGCCGAGGCATGCACCAGTGGGGAATCGAACCCCAGCTCCGCCCAGAAGGAATAACAGAAAGTTCCACAGAATGGCGGCGTGCTCCCAACACGACTCGTGCGTTCTCTACTCTGCATTGCGGCTCTACTTGTGTGCTTCACTTCATTTGCGACTGAGGTTCTTGCCGCGCCCCTCGGGTCTTTATACTCTTGAGACGCCTCTTCATTTCTTGAAACCTGCATTTCAGTACGTAGCCCTAAAACACAAGCACTACGTCAAGGCAAGACAAAAAAACCTTTGGCGTTCCTCCGTATGCACCGGTGGGGAATCGAACCCCAGCTCCGCCCAGACGGGATGATGACGGAAAGCTCGACAGAATGGCGGCGTGCTCCAAACACGACCGGTGCGTTCTCTACTCTGCATTGCGGCCCTACTTCCGTGCTTCACTTCATTCGCGACTGAGGTCTTTGCCGCGCCCCTCGGCTCTCTATCTCTTCATTTTTTGGAACCTGCATTTCAGTAAGTAGCCCTAAAACACAAGCACTACGTCAAGGCAAGACAAAAAAACCGCGTTCGGTATCGAAGCATGCACCAGTGGGGAATCGAACCCCAGCTCCGCCCAGACGGGATGATGACCGAAAAGTTTGACAGAATGGCGGCGTGTTCCGAACACAACCGGCGCGTTCTCTACTTTGCATTGCGGCCCTACTTGTGTGCTTCATTCACTTCATTCGCGACTGAGGTTTTGCCGCGCCCGTTGCGTCTTTATGCTCTTGAGCCCTCTTGAGCCTCGTCTTCATGTTTTGAAACCTGCATTTCAGCAGCCCTAAAACACCCGCACTACGTCACGGCAAGACAAAAAACCCACGCTCGGTATCGAAGGATGCACCAGCGGGGAATCGAACCCCAGCCCCCCCGAGACGGGATGATGACAGAAAGCTCGACAGAATGACGGCGTGTTCCAAACACGACCGGTGCGTTCTCTGCTCTGTATTGCGGCCCTATTTACTCATGTGCTTGAATCAAATTTTCAGGTGGGATTTGTTGGGCTTGTCTGAATCCTCACCACACTTTCGAGGAATATAAACTCAAGGTAAAACGCAAACCTTTGGCGTTGCTCCGTAAGCACCGGTGGGGACCCAACGCCAAGAATGGATCGATAGCGCCGAAAACAGACTGACGGTTACAGATAATCACCAGAACTTTACTCGTCACGTGATGGCCGCGTTCCCGTTTTACGAGCCAAACAGCACCAAGCGCCCTGGTTTGAACAATCACGTGAATTTGGCGTCGAGGTGTGGGGAAAGCGTCGCATTTGTTTTGCTATTTCTCCGGGGAGACAAGATTGTCAAAAAATAGCAAGATCCTCAGGTGCGCCGCACGAATTAGTGCACAAACAGTAATATAATCGGGAATTCCAAGATAATTGATACTGCAACAAACGGGCTAGGAATACACAGGGCATACAGCTACAAGAAATTTAATTCGAAATTCTCCCCCCTCGTTTATGTCATGAAATGCTGAGGGTCCAGACGTCGGGATCGGCTGTCGGTGCAATCCCCTGAAATGAGGTGTATCCCATCAAGAAATCCACCCGTTTGATACCACCGCGTTTTTCTTCCGCATACCCGCGTTGGCCGCGCAGGCGCTCGCATCGTTGCGTGTACGCTCTGGACACCCGCCGCATCAATTGCTCCGTCCGGAGCATATTGAACTCGGCGGGCGTCGAGTTCATCTGAAGGGCGCGATGGACCGTTAGGAGCATGTCGCCCACTGTGACATATCTCCCATTTAAGGCGGAAACCTGGATGGACCATGGAAGATGGGGTGTGACCAAAGTTATAGCGGGCTGCGGAGGATATATTGCGGGTTCGAGGAACGCCGCTGGCGCCACGCCGGAGTGATGTGTCGATATGGTGGATGGGTGCTGCGAAACGCTGTATCTCAGGATAGGATTGGTCGACAGCGCGAGGAGGTTGTGAGCCCTCCGATTCATCCCTGAAGCGTTCGAGAGTGGTCCTTTCGACATCTGCGGGGTTGGAACCGCGAAACCCACGTAAGGTAGCGGTGGTGGTGTTAACGGACCGAGTGAGGATGCTGGGGATGAGACTGCGGGACTAAGAAGTGGAGGCGGGGGCAGCGAATAGACCTTATTCACGGAGGAGAATCGGACGTGTCGTGAGGGCATTTGGAGTGAGGAGTGGCGCAAGTTGAGATGCAACAAGGCTCATTAAATATGGTGAGGAGTGTAACGTTGTTCACTCGCCGAGATCTTCCGTCTCGACTTGCTTCTACCTGTGTAATTTCAACATGAACGTCAGACTCTATCGGAGCACGGATGAAGTCAACAGCCTCTCTACAGCTTTGCGGAGTCGATCTTACGAGAGATAAATGCAAACACCCCAAGGATAGTAACCTTCCGGCATAAGGCGCTCGGAAGCGTCCGAGATGGCGCGTCTATCTCACATCAGATACCGCAAAAACCCCGCGCGTTCGCCAAAAAGAGAAGCATTGGACCCAAATAAAGCAAGTTCCCACAGCACCATCGAGATCGCACCGTTGAAGTCGTGGAATCCCTCGCCACCCAAGAATAAATGCCTTGTATCCTAGGTGTTGGCAGTGCAGATCGTCTGCCCCGAAGTCTATTGAATAAATTGGACCATTGTACCAAGCAGGCAGCTGCGGACCTTATGTTGCGCGACGGTCTCTAAGTAGTCCGGAGACTAACAATGCTACATATTTAGTTCAACCTCGGGTGCAAAGATGTTGACTCAAGTAATGCACCAGCCGGAGCCGCAGAGCTCGCGGAAGTTCGGGCGAAGAGAAAGATACTCATGATGGGGACGGGGAGTCCAGAAAATGACCACGAGTCGCCCAAAAGCTTGGACCGCCGAACTTCGACGTTGGTCGAAATTTACGGGATGCTTGCCGTTTGCTGAGTGTTATCCGTCGCCGCCACGCGGAGTAGAGGCAGTTTCTTTGCAGTCCAGTGTCTTCAGTATCTATTCCTGGTACCGTTTACGGATCCAGGTCTAAAACACGAATAGCCATCAAGACAAAGTTGCCTCCGATCATGACATGTAAAACTATTTTCAATAGTTAAAGGCGAGTCGGCCGAGGGACGAGGCCGCGCGAGACTCGCGAGCCACAATAAAAAGTAGTAAATAATTCTCCTGGTCTGCTTCATGTTGCAGGCTCTGGGAAGAGGTACCAGGGATGCCCGGAGGGGCCTTGATAATGGATTATTGCGGTTTCAAAAATAATTTTAACAGTCATCGGCAGTCCTCGGCCCGTCGCTGAGACCGGATCACGCTTGAATCGCCCTATGATGGCGACGTCGCCCAAACCTTGACCATCACTTACGACCGTGCGCTGGAAATCGCGGAAATCCTGGATCCCATCTTTCGAAGATTACTACACACGAGCCTAGGGTGAATCCGTTTCCTGCCCCTCCGTGTATCTTTGCTTCTCTTGCCAGGACCTTTCGGGACCCTGCACTCCTTGCACTCACCAGGCCCCGGGAAGCTCACGCCAAAGCTTGTCCGAAAATTTAGCTTTTTGAGGGCCAAACTTTGCGATTTCCTTGTCCGAATTTTGAGGCCAAAATTTTACGACCCTTCTCCGGGATTTGGCTTTTTCAGGTGGGTTTTCAACTTTTTTGATTCAGCTCGGATCAAGTTGTCGGCAGCTTGCCCCGGCATCATCGGCATCACAACATTGCCACGACAAGTTCTGTCAAGTTCTAGTCGGTCACACGCTGTGATTCGAATTCCCCTCGCCGCGGCGGCCGAAAAATAGTGGCTTTTGACAACTTTTTGAGGCCGATTTTGGCAAATTTTCCGGACAAGCTTTGCCGTGAGCTTCCTGGGGCCTCACTCACCCGTATCTGCCATTCTCTGAGTGGCCTCTTTCGCAAAGGAGGTGTTTCCTGATCTGGCAGACCCGGAATCAAAACCGTCCCCTTGACTCCGAGTCCACGCAACGGAGTATATCTGAAATCCCTGGCCTCGCCACATACTACGGAGTGCGATGGAACGCCTCAGCCTCAGCCGTTCTTTACTTGGATCCAAATATTCACGCAAACGTTAGTAAAGACTCTTGAAATATCTACAGGAACAGCTTTTACACACGCCATCCAAATGCCATCCCAATATCAGCTGTTCAATAGCCGCACTACATCCCCGCCGCTGCGCTCTCCAGCTCGAAATATCGCGGGACCTCGCCTCTATTCACGGACTTGTGCTATCTCCTGAGCATAAAACTTGAAGTGCCGTGGCATCATGGAGCACGCTGCACCATCGACTTCCGTTTCACAGGCTTTCCCTCACCATCAAAATCCTGGCACATTTCCGGCAGCGTCCCCTCCCACGTTGCATCCCTCCTCCCATTCCCCATGTCTATAGGGCGAACCGCGTCCCGGCTGAGCGCAGTGGATCTTCCAGCTCCGGTATATTCTCAACTGCGAACGGAAACTGCGGCCATAGACTGGCTTGCTCATATGATCCTTGCGGTCAAGACGGTTGCGGCGGGAGCAGATTTTATTCCCCTGCCTTATATTCGTGCGGCCTTCGGTACTGTG